TGAACGACATAACGGAAGGGATAGACTCAGAAGTGTCCTTGTTTGCAGATGATGTGAAGTTAATGAGAAGAATCAAATCGGATGAGGATCAGGCAGGACTACAAAGAGACCTGGACAGGCTACAAGCCTGGTCCAGAAACTGGCTCCTTGAATTTAACCCTGCCAAATGCAAAGTCATGAAGATTGGGGAAGGGCAAAAGAAGACCGCAGACACAATATAGTTTAGATGGCCAAAGACTGCAAAACTCACTCAAGGAAAAAGATCTGGGGGTGAGTATAACACCGAGCATATCTCCTGAGGCGCACATAAATCAGATAACTGCTGCAGCATACGGGCGCCTGGCAAACCTACGGATAGCGTTCCGATACCTCAATAAGGAGTCGTTCAAGACACTGTATACCATTTACGTCAGGCCCATACTGGAGTATGCAGCACCAGTTTGGAATCCACACCTAGTCAAGCACGTCAAGAAATTAGAGAAAGTGCAAAGGTTTGCAACAAGACTAGTCCCAGAGCTACGGGGATTGTCGTACGATGAAAGGTTGAGGGAAATCGGCCTGACGACACTGGAGGCCAGGAGGGTCAGGGGAGACATGATAACGACATATAAAATACTGCGCAGAATAGACACGGTGGACAAAGACAGGATGTTCCAGAGATGGGACACATACACAAGAGGTCACAATTGGAAGTTGAAGACTCAGATGAATCAAAGGGATGTTAGGAAGTATTTCTTCAGTCATAGAGTAGTCAAGTCGTGGAATAGTCTAGAAAGTGAAGTAGTGGAAGCGGGAACCATACATAGTTTTAAGGCGAGGTATGATAAAGCTCATGGAGCAGGGAGAGAGAGGACCTAGTAGCAATCAGTGAAGAGGCGGGGCCAGGAGCTATGACTCGACCCCTGCAACCACAAATAGGTGAGTACACACACACACACACACACATACACGCGCGCGCGGGGCCAGGAGCTGTGAATCGACCCCTGCAACCACAAACAGGTGAGTACACACACACACACACAGGCAGGTTCCATGCATAGCTGTAAACTTACAAAAAGTCAGGGAACAGACTGGAGAAATATTTTTGGTATGTAGGCTTGGGACAAGCTGTAATATCAGGCAGCATCTAAAGTCTTCTAGAATGAAAACAGGACTCCAATAATTAATTAGTCATAAGTGAGGGGTATTGCAAACATGTGTATCGAGATATGTTAAAGAGTTGTGCAATAATGCGGTTACGAACCACTTATCATGGTTCAAACTCCACCCGTTCCTTGAAATGATGGCGGGATGACCTTTCTAAAACCAAAACGACAAGGCGAGAGTTTTAAGCCTTATAAATATCACATCAGTCGTTTATCTGATATAAGATATTCTGAATGATACTGTTGAAGTGTGAATGATTGATGTTATCGTGATGTCCTTTAGAAACATATACCTGGAGAGGGTCTCGGGGATCAACGCCTCCACGGCCCGGTCTGTGACCAGTGTTAGGCTGCTCGTCTTGTGGTATAATGCCTGTTCTAGCTGTCCAAGTTGGCCAGGTGGGTGACCTGTTAATACAGTAAGACCATCGAAATGTTTCTGGTAGTGAAGGTTCTGACGAAATGTTAGTCCAAGGTGACGCTTGTTCTCTACTTTGTTCAAAATTCAGAGTTAGGAGTGAAGGGGAAGGGGCAGGCCGTCCAAGAGAGTGGTGCATACTCTGGTGATAGATAACATGTTCCTTGGACACAGTTTTACCACCAGTGTTGTCAAGCAAGCACTGATTGTGTTGCTTACCATCGGCCTCTCGGCTGCCTTAAACAGCAATTTTCTGATAGGCAGACAAATTTCACCTCAGAATTGTATATATTCACCTATTTGTGGTTACAGGGGTCGAGTCACAGCTCCTGGTTCCGCCTCTTCGCTGGTTGCCTATGACTGTTTAACTGCCTCCCAGCATACATAAGGATTACCAATAGACCCCTGGCTGTCTTTAAGAGGGAGCTGGACAGGCACCTAAAGTCAGTACCTGACCAGCCGGTCTGTAGTTCCTACGTCGGTTTGCGTGCGGCCAGCAATAATATTAATATAATTAAAACTAAGCGCTAAACCCACCAGGGTCACACAGCGCTGCTCCAGCAGTAATAGCCTGGTTATCAGGCGCTGATCCACTACGAGGCCTGGTCAAAGACCGGGTCACGGGGGCATTGACCCCCGAAAGCCTCTCCAGATTCAGCCTTCGTCCTGCTCCAAGAGCTTTATTGTACCTCTTTTTAATAAGTGGTGCTGCAAGGTTGTGCTCTTAGCACTGCCTTCTTCCTGCTAATCACTAACTGACTCGTCTCTGCTTCTCAAATATTATATCTGGTCATCCTTATACTGAGAGGATTTTGCTGGCACTTGTGCTGACACCGACTGTCAGTCGTCTTGTCGAGCTCTCCATTACTCTTGTTGATCACGCTTCTAATTGGCCGTCCCTCATGGTGTTATTACAGTATTATTATAATTAAGGGGGAGCGCTAAACCCGTAGGATTATACAGCGCCTGTTGGGGGTTGGAAGGTATTCACGCTCAATTCGGGGAACTGGAGTACAGATCCAATTCCCTAGATCAAGAGGCCCTCACCATTATTATAATCATGGGGGAGCGCTAAACCCATAGGATTATACAGCGTATGTGGAGAGGGGGGAGAGGGGTGGAAGGCATTTATGCTCAATTCAGGGAACTGGAGCACAGATCCAATTACCTAGATCAAGAGCCCCTCACGAGCGTCAAGGAGCCTCTCTTGAGGGGCCCTTATGGTCTGAAAATTAGTTACGTAATTTTCGCATGCCCTATCACATATACCTGTATAGTCATCCTTTCCCGTAACCTAAGTCATTTTTTCCCCTCTTTGATGGCCGATGACAGAAACTTGACTTAACCCCTAATCTGCATCTTAGTCAACAGAAAAAAAGACGTTTCGGTCTCCAGGAGCTTGACAAAGCTCCTGGAGAGCGAAACGTTGCCACAGTAAAATGTCCCAGTAGTTGCACTTGTGTCCTTTTACCTAACATTGTCGGTAGTTTTACCAACGTTAATACAGAAGAAAGAATTGAAACCAGGTTAAAATTATTATTACAATGAAAACTAAACTAAACCCACAAGGGTCATACAGTGCTGCACTGAAAGCAGGTGCTTCAGACAGCATCCCCAAAACTGGGAAGGACCTCTAGAGTTAATTTAACTTTCAGTAAAGAGGAAGCAAATTATTACTATATGCTGTCACCTGCACATATTAAAATACATTTTTTAATCACTTAAATGAATGCCTTAAAAAAAGGTCAAGGTTGTAGACATAACAGCCTTGAGGAAAATTTTCCTCCTTTCCAGAAAGATAACTAACTTAAGGCTGAAATGTAATTTTATTTGGTAACACATTCTTATGATGTATTTATGAATGGCAGCTTTCCAATTACCGTAGCTTTTAAAGTCATCACTTACGAGGCAAATTTAAATAAAAGAATCGTGTTACATAGCTTTTATTTTATGCTGATTCCAGATATTTATTCTGAAATAAATATATCTTTATTCATATAATTTGATAAACCATTTGCCTATAAAAAAATTACTATACTATATATACAAATATGATTATACAGTTACACTTGTTTGGTTACTAAAGTCAAAATCTAAATTCTCTACCCAAAAGTATAAAAAGTAGCAAACAGATGTGTGATTTTCAACACAGATTGGCACTGTAGAAAATCGGAGTTTTGCTTTGAACCTTGGTCTTAAAAAATTAATTCTACTTCTACTGACGTCTGGCACTGATTGAACACACACTTGTAGTTGTACAGATAACAAAATAAAAAAAAAAATCAAATAACTTCACTTTAGAAACCAAATAAACATAATCTGTCCTTATAATTTATAAGAATAATTGTAACTCATTAAACCTATAGGAAGGATTTTTTTTTTACATATAACTTCTCTATTCAGATAATAAAATTTGAATTAGCACCACATTCTCAATAACATCGAGAATCTTTCGAAGTCAATCATTCTGGAAACAATTGCATGAGGACTCTTCCGTTCAACTCCGTAATACAAGACTGACAGTTCACACATAGTACGTACTGTACACTGCAGGGGTAACATGCCTTGAGTTTTCAAATAAAAATATAAATTACCAAAGCAGCACACTGTTTGATTTAGGAACATAGAATATAATATAAATATATATATATATATATTATAATTTTATATATATATATATATATATATATATATATATATATATATATTATATATATATATATTATATATAATAATATATATAAATATTTATATAAATATATATATATATGTATATATATATTATACATATATAAAATCTTAAGAGAACGTTAAAGCACATTAAGCAAATCATTTCAATATACGTACCGTATTCTTATTCCCCATTATATTTATGGGGAAGCTCTAGACCCACAAGGGTCATACAGCTCCTGTAGAGTGGGAGGTTATAAATTTTGACTTGGTGAAAGGGGTGCTCCAATTCCTTGGATCAAGAGCCTTTTCACCATACTAGTGTACAATTTAGACTGGCATCTGGATAAAATACATAGCCATCTTGCACAACCTCTGCAAAGTTTGTCCCACACTTTGGGCAAGCCTTCACAATGACTCGTACCAAAAACCAACGTTTTACAATTCTAACAGCTATTATGCATTCAAAACTTCCTTTAATTTCTTCATTTTTTGTACTTTAATAACAGATCTGAATCAGGAAATCACAGAAAATAATAGTAACTTATTTGAGCATTAATTTGGCTAGCTGCCATTTATCATACCATTAATGCTGGATTTTTTTTTTAACTAACCTCCAACTACTGTGGAAAATTATTTTGACAATTAAAAAAAAAATATATAAAAATAGACAGGAATTAAAATTAGGAAAATTAATTTGCAAAATATTTTTGTCCAAGTCTTTTTCCTTTCAACTGAATGCTATTGGGTGTCTAAATTATAGAAAATTCTGAATACTTGTAAATCAGAAATTTCTTTTAATCAGTAAACACATTCTGATTTATGGAGAATTTCCTAACTGTAATTAGAAATTTCCTCTTTTATTCAAAATTTCTGAATATGAGAAAATTCTGCCATCAAAATTCCAAACATATTATTAAAAAATTCAGAGATATTTTCCTAAAGAAAACAAAATTTTTTTAACATTGGCAATTTAAAATTTTAAAAATCATTCCAAACTCAAAATTAAATTTTCTCTTTGGAGATTTCTTCTAATAAAAGAAATATTGCAGTATTGTACTATAATTAGTTACACCCTATTGATGCATGATAAAAATCCCTGACATCTGAATGTTTGTTTTTAAGACTGTTTATAATCAATAAATTAAACTGATATTAGAAAATCTACATCTACTGAAATATTTGGCATCAATGTACTAGCTTGAAATACAAGACTAAGAACAAAACCCAACTGGCCTCTAGATTTGCCATCTAATACCAGGTTCAGCTTACTAAAATGCACATTTGCAACTAAAACACAAAAGCAGCATTTATCAGGTTACTAATGCTTTTAAGAAAACTCGCAAAAGAAAATCAGCAACTGCAGCAAAATCTATTTTATAGAAATTTACTAAAAAATAAATTATGTACAGTGCATAATTGTGAAACAATATTAATGTGATTTTTTAGTGCTAACTACAGTATAATAGAAGTTTAAATAAATGTATTCAATGAGCAAATGCTACTAATTTTATTACACTATGAGCCACGGTTTACATTTATGTAAATACGTATGAGTAAGTGGATGAGCTCTAGCTCTTGAACCCATTTCTTAGCTTTCATTTGATCAATGTGAATCAACTTACTGTGTCATATTTCTGCCTGAAGACTTGCATGAAGTCTACGTCTACTGCCTCACTCGCCTTCTCTACAACTCTCACACGGAAAAAGTATTTCCTAGTACGTGTGTGTATACTCATCTAATTGTGGTTGCAGGGGTTGAGTCATAGCTCCTGGCACTGCCTCTTCACTGTGTATGCGTGTGTGTGTGTGTGTGTGTAGGGGGGGTGTTGTGTTTGTGCAATTACTCGTGTGAATAATTACATAACTGAAATCACAGCAGTCAAGCTTATGTTGATGGTGTTCCATTTGATGTAATGTACTTACTAAGTAATTAAACCATGTTTCATTAGATGTCAGTAAGAGTGGGAGGAAAAGCGGAATTTTCTAAACCTTCAGTACAATATCCTGCTGCACAAATCTCAACTGACCATTGCATAGTACACAAATACATCCTTGTACAACATATAAATGCTGCCACTGTGGCATGAGGGCATACAAGCATCTTCATTTAATAAAATTTAAATCTATGTATCTTTTTTTAGAAGTGTATTATATACCTAAAATTAGGCAATTTTTCAGATTAGTAGTATTTAAAATTAAATGTGAAACATTAAACCAATGACCATTTACACTTTTTAATTATATTGCCTAATTTTAGTCATTTGGAAATATAGTGTACACATCTCTTTCAACGGACAAACGACTGACCAATACACCACACCTGCCAACTGATAATCATTCACAAAAAATACTTCATTATGTACATCACAATAATACTACTTTGGGTGCTAATATACCAAAAAAACTTAATAACTACTTTATAAAATATTAAAAATATATTTAACTATAATAAAGTACTGTATTTCACTATATAAGCATTTTTCTTTACAGAATTAGACGATGCAGTTTATCACCAAGCACAAATTTATAAGCCTAAATTTTCTATCTCCTAGGACTGCTTATGCTGGATGCGAAACATTTGCAACACAGTTGATCTTAAAGCATATCAGTGAAATGAGTTTTCCTATGAATTAAAATATAACAGTGGTACTGTGTATATTATCTGTATACAAAATAGCAACAAAAATTTGTCAAATGCACACCAAAATATTTCTTAATATAATACTTGAAAAGCAGAGGATGTGAGCTTAAGTGACCAATACTGGTTGAAGCTCTCCCAAAATACTGATTTGCATTTTAATTGTATGACATTCGTTACAATTTTGTTTAATATTTTCTTAAGGGTGATTTACATGGATAAATGGTACTACATATTACATTAAAAGTAAATAATAGTTAACTATTTGGAGTTCAAATAACTTCCTTAAACAATTCATAAATTTACAGTATTCAATTTATGTATTTAACATTTTCATTGGGTCATTTCCTGAATCTAACTGCTTTTAAGTGAATCATAAATTGTGTATGTACTCTAAGTACTTGTGTGCACTCTTTTATATACTGTGCTAAATTAAGGCCTTACAGTCAAAAGCCTAATGCTTATACACTCTTGTTCCCTTACTACATTGTGATCCTGTCTTACTGTGCCTTCAGATTTGCTTACTAACAGTTCCATATTTTTCCTTCATCTGTCTTTCTCAGCCTCAATGACCTATCACCTTCTTCGTCAGGCAAAATTCCTTGGGTCCCTTCCATGCTACTAGTCTGCTTTACCCGTGACATTTTTGTTTACAGTTTGGGTATCCTATTGCAGCAATTTCCTCCCTGCTCATGACTGGCCTCTGGAGCCTTCCTGCTCTTCCTCACGGTTGCTGTCATCCTTCAGGTGTAGAACATTTTTCAGCTTATCCATCACCTGCAATAAACATTTAACAATTCTGTGTACTATTATCAATATAATAATGGTATACAACACTGATAAGTTCATGAATAAGACATGTGCAATGGTTGGGAATCATTACTGCTGAAAAGTTTCTCCTATGCTGCAGGTTTTTGAGATGAATTACAGTAATGATTTTAGTACTGGAGACAGTGGGAGAAGTGGAGAGGTAATTTTGAGGTCTTCCACCCCTCAGCCTTGACAGAAGGTATTCTACCCCTTAGCCTTAACTGAAGTTGATCAATTCCTAAGCCTGCTGATGCACTTATTCACATAAAAGTGTCATGGCATAATGTGCCCTAATCAACTATAAATAGGTAAACTTAATTGTGGCCTTCTGCAGTGAATAATTATCTGGTGCTCCCCCAGTAAGAAGTTAGGTCCAAGAATTTCTGGCTCTGGTAAGGATTACAAGATGTGAGGACTTTGATGATATGATATGATATGAGCGTGTTAGACAGGAATGAATGGAGACGAATGGTTTTTAGGACTTGACGTGTTGTTAGAGTGTGAGCAGAGGAATGTTCATGAAGGGATTCAGGGAAACCGGCAGGCTGGACTCGAGTCCTGGAGATGGGAAGTACAATGTCTGCACTCTGAAGGAGGGGAGTTAATGTTGCAGTTTTTTAACTGTAGTGTAAGTGTGCCTCTGGCACACTTACACTACAGTTATAATTTTATAACTACAGTTATAAAAGAAGAGGATGAAGAACTTAAAAGATAAATGGTAAATACTGCAGCCATTATACAAGAAACTTCATTTTATTGGCTAAATTTCAAAGTTTTCCCTAAAAAAAAAAAAAAAAAAAAAAAAAAAAAAAAGACTACCAAATATTCATTTGAAAACAGTGTTCAGATAAGCAATGATGCCTTATCTTCAGATGTACAAAGTACTACAGGTAAGACTGATCAGAGATGTATTACATAATAGTTGTGCACTCTATATACAACCATCAACTGCAGATAAATCTGCATCCATATCAACGAAAAAGACATGGCCAGCACTTCAGCCCAGTATGGTCACATCAACCCTCTCCACACTTTAATGTCAACAGGGTGTCCATGGCTCGACTGGCAGCGCACTCAGCTCACATAGTGAGTGTCAATGGTTTGATCCCCAGCATAGGCTAGCCCATGGCCAGGCTCTGGGAGTAGAAAAACTCAAAACTCATCAAAGTTATGGGTGGAAACACTGGGCATGTTTCCTTACACCAAGACTGTCAACTGCCTCCCAGCGTACATAAGGGTTATTACCAATAGTCCCCTGGCTGTCTTTCAAGTATGCCCTGGACAGGCACCTAAAGTCAGTACCTGACTTTAGGTGCTGCGGTTCGTATGTCGGTTTGCGTATAGCCAATGGTAACAGCCTGGTTGATCAGACCCTGATCCACCAAGAGGCCTGGTCACAGACCAGGCTGTAAACTCCTGCTGCCCCTGTTCACCTAGCAGTAAGTAGGTGGTACCTGGGTATTAGTAGAATACCGGGGGTTGCATCTTGGGGAGTTTGGTAATATACTTTAGATAGTGGTAGGCACTGAAATGAGCTGAGGCAGGATAAGAGCTGCTATCCTGTAAAACTGATGTGTAAAAAAATGCAACAACCAGAATTTAAGCAAGATAACCTATTTTAATTTGTACCTACCTAGTACAATATTTAAAAGAAACACAAGTTGTTCATCAAATTTGGAGGCCTCTGAAATGTAACCTTCATATATCAGTAGTATCGGTTATCAGTAGTATCAGTAGTACGTGCTCATACCAGTGACCATTAGGTGAATCACTCACTAACTGTTACGTGACTCACTGCTGCCCTGCTGTGACATCACATCACCCTTTGAAATGTCCTCGGGCACTGCCTTCAGTCGACGCCGAATTATACCAGAGTAGACAGGTCAGGCGTGAGGATCTGAGTGCTCCCCTTATTTTCTTATTATATGCTACCAAGACATCCTACGTGTGTATTATTGCTCCAAATCCATTACCGAACCCCCACGACACACATTTGTTTATGTTCCCGAGTTACACAGAACTATTTTCCATAAAGCACCAGTTTTCTGGAACGTATTCCCTGCATTATGAACGAATTTACCACAGCTTTAAATAGGCACCACAATAATAAGTAATCACACCCACCTTGTTGTGGAATTTTGAGAGAGATCCAGAAGATGGGCTCTTGTTTGGGCCACTAGTCGTTGTGGTGGCCAATGGGCTCTTTGGTGGGCTAGTGGTCCCTGAAGAGAACAGTGCAAAATCTATTATTATACACTATGCAAAAAACAGTAGAGCCCTTAATTATTTATTAACAAATAAAGCAATATACTGTATGTTGTTAACATTTAAGATCTGTTCCAATCATTAAACACTAGGGACCCATGTTCAGTAAAGTACAATTATAATAAAGTCAGTAAAAATCTTTGTTCTGCTTTTACCACTTCATAATGTTTATTTCATGATTTTTAATAATACTAATGTCAGGCATTCTTTCAAATAAATAAATAATACAACTGGAGTTTAGTAAATAATGAACTGGGCCTGGTCTGTGGTGTTCCCTGATCAGGTGGATTCAGAATGAGTTCCTTGTTGAAACACTCTTAATGGTTATGGTGTGTGTCCCACAATCTGTGGGCCATGGGATGGCACTATAATCCTCCCTAGGCTATGGATATGTGAAGGAAGGCTGAATCCAACTGTCACTCACAGCAACTGTTTGAACAGAGATGCAAAGCCAGTACTCTTAGTCACAAATCTTCATGCACTGGCATAAGGCTATGTACAGTGTACGCCAGGTCTTGCTCTCAGAATTAAATAGTTGAGACTAGTGTTAGGACAGGGGAGAGTAAGGAGATAGGCAGTCTACTACCAAGACAGGCATTTTATCCATCTAGCTGAATCCTTGAGATGAATGAGCATCTACATACAATATGTATGTGCTTTTAGAAATAATGTACAACTGTACAGTATAGTACTCTTTATTTAACATAACTAACCAGGGGAATTTGGGTCCATTGAAGTTCTTGAAGCATATCTGGAATTCTTAGTCGACAAATGGTAAGCCCTAGGTGGCGAGCCAAGGTACATCATATCATTGCGGCCTTGAGAAGGGGCATGGTACGAGAAGCTACGCCCAGTTTCACCTATGCCTCTTTTCCTGACATGGGCAGGCCGTGATCGATGGCTGGCTGGGGCAGATAACTGTAGAAAATTAAAATAAATAAGTATAAAAATAACTATGGTTTATCAGATCTTTACCTCCTATAAATGCTTTATATTGTATTCCACCTGGTTATAGTTGCTAGGTGTATTATATGTGGTATAGCTTGATAAGTGTCACATTTGTGTAAAGCTTGATTAGTTGCATGGAATGAGAGGAGAAACAGGCATGAGGTTCCTCCCAATGGGTGGATATTGCACTTGTATTATGGAATGTACCAGAGTTTAGCTGTATTTAAGGCAAATGAGGGCTTGTCTGGTAGTGACAGATAGAATGAGTGTTGGAGGGATAATCAATGGTTGCATGAGAAGCAATGTGTCAGCTGCAAGTGCCAGAAGCCAGTGTAATCTGCAATACATAAAGATAGTGGTTCAATGCCCAGCAAGACAGCAAACTACCACAGCTCAGCTGTTAACAACCTCAGCTCAGATACTAAAGGGCCATGATTCAATCCCTAGCATGGGTAGAAATGTTGGGCATGTTTACCTAGGAGTTAGTTGGTACTCAGATGTTAGCCAATTGTTGTAGGTCACATATCACAGTGGTAGTATACCTAAGATAGGGAGGGGGTTTGAAATGAGCTGAGGTAGGATAACAACTCTTGGCCTGTAAATTCAACTGTGCAAATATAAAAAAAAACAGATAGAGATTGACAGTGAATAGTTAGCAAAGTGTATTTTAGCCAATTTGCAAGACGACTCACCAATCATTTAAGATTTACCTTAATGATGACTTCCATGGGAGCTACAGTCCACTGTTTGAGAAAAGTTACTGCTAGAGAGCCAGTTTTATAACATAACTAGTACATAATTGTGATTTGACATTCTGACTGAAAGGTTTATGATACGCTTGTGCGGTTAACAAGCAAATATGAATTGCTACTTTCATAATCCAAATTCTATTGCTGTTATACAAGAGCCCTACCCCATATATAAAATATTAAATATTGTACCATATGTTCTATTTTAATATGTAATACTGATACTTTGTACTTTATACTGAACCTACACTGATACTTTAAAAATGAACTAGAAATTCAACATTCATGAATTCTACTATACAGTATTAATGTAGTGTTTAAAATAGTGTACTCTGTTTAACTTCGTGTACTTTTACACCTCAGGTTTTCATTTTTTTTACATTAACTGATGAGTCTCCTATTCTTGTAGGGAGTAATTCCAGAGTGCAGATTTATATCCAGCTCTTCAAAAAATTTCCAGGAATAAATTATGATGCATCTTTCTTGCCTGGACGAGAATAGTTACATATACAAATTTGCTTATGACACTAGACTAGGTCGTCAGGTAATTTCTGATGAAGACATTTAAAAGCTACATGATGATGTGGACAGGTTGATGTGGTCAGAAGTGGCAGATGCACTTTATGTAGACAATTATAAGGTTGTAATCCTAGAAAATGAAGTAACTGTTTATAGACTAAAATGTTAATGCATAAGGGTTTACAATAAAGCTAAAACAATTCTTAGCATCTTATATACACAAAATAATAGAAGTCCTAGGGTTATGACTCAAGAAATCGTAATGACACGATTGCAAACAAACCATACAAACACGACGGGCTGGAGTTTTGAGACTATGACCGCGGGTTCAATCCCGGCCGGGGGTATGGTTTCCTAGGGTTATACTTCAACTCTGAGGCTTGGTTACAGACTGGGCCGCAGGGGCGTTGACCCCCGAAACCCTCTCCAAGTATACTCCAGGTATCTTCGGGTAAGGTCTCATTTAGATTTTTTGTTCAGTTCTGATCTCCACATTAGAGAATGGATATAAACACACTAAAGCACTGGAAAATATGAGAATAATACCTAAGTCGATCCTATGTATCAAAAATCTTTACCATGAAGGTAGGCTGAAAACACTGAATTTGCACTCTGGCAAGACAGAATATATAAGGGGGTGACTGAAGTGTACAAATAGAAAACGTAAATAAATAAAGGTGATATAAATAACGTGCTGAAAGTATCTAACCATGACATGACTCGCACACATCATTGGACTCAAGTTCGACAAATATAGATTTAGAAAGGATATGGAGAAATAGTGGTTTGGTAGTAGACTTATTATCTAACATACATAATGAATTTGCTATCCTTAAACCTTCACATCACCAACAAAATTAATCGATGTAGCTATAAAAGGAAAAAATGCATATCTGTTACAGTCAAATTATTTCCTGATGAAATGTCATTACATTATCTTATTCTTGTACGATATAATGCGGTTCTTTAGATCAAACAATCCTAGAGGAGTCACAGACGTCTACATATTCCTATATTGAAATATCTTTTAAAGATCACTTCTACACACAGCCAACATCCACGCCCCACTCACACGCCTAACCACTATTACATGCAGTCTAATTTTCAAGTAAATGCTAGGTTGTCACATTAAAGAACATGATAGTTGCCCTTGAGGAGGTCCAATTTTGGCATCCACGCCTGGCAACAAGTGTAAAATAGTTCATTTAACTTCAAATTGATATTCCTCAGTTTGATTTGCCTCCCAATAAACTTCTATGCAGTTTCTGCAAAGCTAGCTTCTTTCATTTTTATGTTTAAACGAGCTTATAGTTTCACAGGTGTGACAATCTAGTCCACCCATTATTATTATAATTAATTCCAGGGCTAAAGCCCGTAAGGGTCATAATTAGAACATTTAGCCTACCCAGCATTTCATTTACATAAATGCTAACTTGTCCACAACACCGTCAATTACTCTACCTATTTATATATTCTATGGGCGAGTACCAAACTCATAGAGAATGTATAGTACTTTCTGGAATTCATCTACCATGGTACAAAAATTGCGTATGTATATGTCTCAACAACTAGCAACTTCAGACATGTGCAAAATTAGACGCATGTTGCACATGTCTAATTTTCATCTTGTCGGTATTGTATACCATTCATGTACAACTAGCAGCTTCGCTATAACTATTGCCTAATTTCGGCTACATTTACAAATATCTTGGGGAGTTTGTATCACTAGACGATATATTGTACAGAATGTAATTTAAACTTGAGGAATTAAATTCACACCATACATCATTATGTACCTGAATGTGAAAAAACCGAAGCAGTTAGATGCATGTAATACTTTTACAAATGCTTAAAAGCTTATGAAATATTTCTATTACATTACCAAAAATTAAAGTAAAGCATATAGGAATACACACAGGAAAGCAATCCACAGCTGTCGGCTAACACTTAGGTACCTATTTACTGCTAAGTTAATAGGGGCAACAGGTCTACGGAGATTTATCCATAGACTTTTTTCGGGAGTGGGTGCCTAAGACTGTCAGCAGGTTTCTCACAAATTTGCACAGTATTTTTTTTTCTGCCAGAACGTGGCCCTGGCAATAACAGGCAATTAATACCGTGTATCTAGGAAACAAACCAGGGACCATTCAGCTGCAGGATGAACTCTTCAATGATGAGCTGTGGGCACCCATTGACAAGTCAAATTGCCTTGTTATACTCCGTACATATTTTTTAGCATTGGTTCTCCTCAAGGAGAACCAATGCTAAAATGATTCCACCTCTGCAATCAATGCCCTCTCCCATCCTCAACCACAGGACAATGTTCACCTCATCACATCGATCCTGAGCATAATGACAGCCTTAGAAGTTCAGGGTAACAGATCGACATTGAACTGGATCCCCAGCCATGCTGGCATCCGGGGAAATGAGGCGGCAGATGATGCAGCCAAGGCAGCAACAGACTATCCACATGTTGGGATTACTGTCCCAATCAGCCTACGACAGACCAAACTGGTGGCTGCCAGAGCCATGAAACTTATAGGGAAGGTCTTAGGTGATACCCCATCTCAACAGTGGTACCGAGCAGCGACTCAGGGAGAACCCCCTCCATATGATAGAAGCTGGTCCAGAGCGCAGTGTACCGCCATCCATCGGCTTCGTTTGGGCTTTCCCACAGCCAAGATGATGGTAGACATGGCTGAGATGTGCCAGTACTGTCAGCACGTTGTCCAGCGGCCCCTAACACACTATCTTCTGGAGTGCGAAGTTACTGAGACACTCCACAGGCAACTAAGATTGATATTCCCTCCCGAAGAGGAACCAGAGATGACTGCGGCCACACTAGTGTACCGTGGAGTCAACGAACCAGACAAGCTGTTACCTGTGATAACGACATATCCTCCTCCTCGCTAGTGTCCATAGTTAGGAGTACATACGGTGTTGTCGCTTATGAGATGCACCAGTTGAACTGACCAGAAGTGTGCTTGAACAGCATATGTCGCATCATTGTAGAAACCTTTCTCCCTCGGGAGCCAGAGACGGGTCATCGCAAGATTGAGACCCGTGCCAGGACTACGGTCTTGGCGAACATTATACATACATACTCAAGGAAGGTTCCTTGACGTTGGTGAGGGGCTTTTGATCGAGGGAATTGGATCTGTGCTCCAGTTCCCTGAATTAAGCCTGAATACATTCCACATCCCCCCAGGCGCTGCATAATCTTAAGATAAGATAAGATTTCGTTCGGATTTTTAACCCCGGAGGGTTAGCCACCCAGGATAACCCAAGAAAGTCAGTGCGTCATCGAGGACTGTCTAACTTATTTCCATTGGGGTCCTTAATCTTGTCCCCCAGGATGCGACCCACACCAGTCGACTAACACCCAGGTACCTATTTGCTGCTAGGTGAACAGGACAACAGGTGTAAGGAAACGTGTCGGAATGTTTCCACCCGCCGGGAATAGAACCCGGGCCCTCCGTGTGTGAAGCGGGAGCTTTAGCCACCAGCCCACCGGGCCACTAACCATGGGTTTAGCGCTCCCCCTTAATTATAATAATAATAATTTAGCATTGGCTCTACCAATTTAAATTTATACCACAAAGTGTTCAGCATAAAATTTCCATCCCGATTCTGACCCCATATACCGGAAGACTTAACAATTCTGAGATAGTGAACTATGATGCCAGGCGCCTGAATCAGCAAAGAACAAAAGTACTTGCTAAATTATAAAATCTACACTAAACAGATTGTGTCCTGAAGACGCTATCTTTATCTGAAACTGCTTTGTGCACATGCCCCTCAAGGAAGGTTCCTTGATGTTGGTGAGGGGCTCTTGAATTAGGGAATTGGATCTGTGCTCCAGTTCCCCGAATTAAGCCTGAATATCTTCCACATCACCCCCCCCAGGCGCTGTACAATCCTCCGGGTTTAGCGCTTCCCCCTAAACTATAATAATAATAATAATAATTTGTGCACATGCCACCGTGCCAATTAAAATAGTAACTCTTGCTAATTTTAACGCACTGGTCAAAATTCACCTCTATGAAAGGTTCTGAACCTTTAGCATCCATGACCTTGACTCTTTTATATATACGTACATACAAGTTTGCAGTGTACTGATGTCTATTGCCAAATTATATAATTATAAACTTGAATGATACTATGGGATGCAGTTCTGCTGACTGCACTATGGGATGTAGTTCTGCTGACTGCTTATGTGTCAATGTAAAAACGTGACACGGGTTCTAATCACCAGTAATTCAGTAGAGCCGACACTAGTGTTGGAAGCATGCAGCACAACAACTGTTCCAAGTTACGTGGGAAAGTGTAGTAACCGAGGCCCTATATCAGTGAAAAGTGTGAAAAGAAAACCCAATGGCTAATAAGAATATTGGTAATAAACACCAAATTTCTTGCTGTAATCATGTTTTAACTTGTATCGCGCATGCTTCTTGTTAAACAAAATAAATTGTATCATTGAAGAAGCGTCCTTGCATGCATGTTGACACTGAGTTCACTAGCGTTCTTGCCTTCCTAGATATTTTAGATTCGGTGAGATTGAAATTGCTGTTTATTTTATATGTGAATTAACCAATATATGTGTGAGAGAGAGAGAGAGAGAGAGGAAGGAGAGAGAGAGGAGAGAGAGAGAGAGAGAGAGGAGGAGAGAGAGAGAGAGAGAGAGAGAGGAGAGAGGAGAGAGAGAGAGAGAGAGAGAGAAGAGAGAGAGAGAGAGAGAGAGAGAGAGAGAGAGAGAGAGAGAGAGAGAGAGAGAGAGAGAGAGAGAGAGAGAGAGAGAGAGAGAGAGAGAGAGAGAGAGACTGAGACTTTGCGTCTCTCAAACAAGACTGGGACACGCCCATTTTACCAGCTACTTCTTGTCACTCCAGAATATTACTGCTAAATATTGACATTGTGCTCATACTTGTCCTGGTAAAAATACAATAACGGAATTATATTCATATAGAATTAGTTATTTCCAGAGGGTGTGCTAAACCCATAGGGGTCACACAGCGCCTTGGGGAATTGGAGGCTGATTCGATACACATAATCCAATGAATGTCATGCTAGCTCCAATTCTTTGGATCAAGAACCCTACACCAGCGTCAAGACACCGCCTCCCGTCAAGAGTATTATAAAGCGCTGAACCCAAAGCGGGCATACATTATCATATTTATAAGGAAGTGCTAAACCCATAGGGTCATACAGCACCCAGGGAATAAAAAAGAATTAATCCGCTTTGATCTATCAAAGTAGAAGGTAAATTAATTTCTTCTTGTCAGGAGCTCTTCAGCATCAAGACATCTCTTTAAAGTACCATTTGCAATGAAGAATTACTATTTCCAGTAGCCTCTTACCAGCGGCTGACTTCCCACTAATTACCATCGCTGGAATATTCTGGTTACTTACCGATGAGCTTTCAGAATTATTACGGGAACGTTTCGTGTTGTAGATCTCCCAGTCATTCTTGAGCACTGGTGTCATGAATGCACACATCATGAGGACTCAGGGGTGATGGACAAGCCACACTGCAGAAGTTGCTGATGATATCCTTCTCAGGCGATGGCCAGAAACTGTCTACCTCAGGTGATCGATAGCTTGGTCGCTGTCGTTGAGGAAGAGGTGCAACCTTGAGTTTCACTTGCTGGTTCAGATGCTACTGAGTTTATTATGGTTGAGCAATTGTGACAAGTGATCAGGTCGTCCAGGGGCGAAACTAGCAGCAGGTATGACACGAGACACTCGAGTCAGATATCTCGATACAATCTGGTGAGGAGTCGTGTTGTGACGAAGATATTCGAATTCTCCGAGATTACTTCTTCAAGACCGATACATATAGTAATGTTTAATAAAAGTTGCGTTGGCAGCTGCTGTGTGAAGCCAATGCACACCCACTCCTGACCAGGGTTGTAGCGAGACTGCGATCTCTGGCTCACTGCCTCACGTTCACACAATGCTCGCTCTTCCTTCTGTCAATTTCTCCCGCGCTTTAACGTTTGCCACTTACCAGAAAATATATAAAACCTTTTAACCCATAAACCTCGAGTATACGTAAATTTAGCCACTCATAAAGTATACGTTAAAAATACTACTGCTGTAATTTTCTCTACACAAACATATGGAAAATATATAAATATAGAAGTGGAATGTATTGTTGTGAACGCTGCTAGTAGCGTGATATTTGTACCCCCCTCTGGCAGTGTTGCCAAGTCTCCGCAACCACTGTTGGAGAGTTGCCAACTCCGGCGAGTTCTTACTCCCGGTGACACTTTGTGTTTCCACGAGATTTTGCGGTGCTAGTATTCACGTCTCGCAGAAATATTTAATGCTGTTGGCGCGCTCCTTGAATAGGTGCCAAATACAATGTATTTAAATATTTAAATACATTTTATTTGGTATTTATTATTATTATTTGTAATATTCAGCAGTATCCATGCATTGATATTAAGTCTGAATACCTGTTATGTAATGCATACTACAGTATCAAGGTGAATAATAATAATAATAATAATAATAATAATAATAATAATAATAATAATAATAATAATGACAACAACAACAATAATAATAATAATAATAATAATAATAATAATAATAATAATAATAATAATAACAAAATAATAATAGAATCAAGTTTTCGTGACAAAATATGGAAATTTATAAAATTTCAAGAAATCTTCTTAGCCACCCCTTGCTAAGTTATATGTAGCCTATTACAACTTTTTCACTCTGAGTGAAGGGAAGGCTAGCCAATACTATTTAAACCAACTTCCTAACGAAAAAAGTGATATTTGACATTTTCCTTGTTTTGCAAAATGATCCTTATGTGGTTTAAAGCATTGCCTTGAGAAGACGTCTCGTTCAATATATATATATATATATATATATATATATATATATATATATATATATATATATATATATATATATATATATTGAACGAGACGTCTTCTCTTGGTGTGGGTGCACAGAGGCACCCACACCACCGTATGCCCTCGGATCAAGATAAAACACGTAGTTCTGCTTGGTGCTTGATTCTTGTAGGATTGTGTGGTTCAGTGGGTTAGAGCGTCATGTGCGCTTTTCGCTCACCATGAGGCGGGCCAAAACGACATGGGTTCGAATCCTCGGCTAGTCGCAGTGTTGTTATTGATATATATATATCTTCTTAGTAAAATGCAAAAAAGTACATATTGTGTCTCATTAACTTACTTGTCAGTATATAATACCATTAATATATACAAAACTCTTTTAACACAAGAGGACAAGTCGGGAAGGTCTCGGTAAAAATCACGACGCATGTACACTAGCTGCAAAAGCTGATCAATTGAGGTCGCAACAGGACGCTGCGAAGGTCGTACATGCAATACACCACGTAACATTCCTGTTTAAGCTTATGTCAAGTATTGTCTTCGCGTTATCTTAACAGGGTTGGTCTAGGGCACAGGCGTACTTTCATTTTCTGATTTGGATCCAAATGCCATACTGCAAACTAAGTAGTGATGAAAAGACATTACAGAACGTTTCGCCCATTGATAGGTTTATCAATTTAATATCGTCCTTTGTACTAGCGACAAATTCTGGTTACAAGTCCAAACAAAGTATCCGCTTATATATTCTAGCCGAGACCTAGCATGAAAGTGGATCCTGCAGACTGGGCTTCTCGGCTGGGAAGGACGCCTTTAAGTAGTACCTTCATTGTCTCAGCCGAGATGATCAACCCCAGGTCTTGACACACACCATCATCATAGCTGAGGACGTTGTAAGTGTTGGAGAGTCCGATGATGTGTCTAATTATATCATCAGCAAAGCTAATCATAAAGCGATTCGGCTGCTTTGGCATAGGATAGCATTAATTAGAAAACCGAATAAGGTTGGACTGAAGGCACCGTGTTGGGTTACTAATTCAAAGTGTCTTGGTTACACTTCTATACTCCAGGAACATCACAGACTTTCTGTTGGTCAGATAGGTTTCTATCCACCGAAGAAGCCATCCATCCACATCCATCACGAAATGCTGTGCATCCCATTGGCTTTCTGATTATTGTATACCCTGTGATGCAGTGATTATGAATAATTTCAATGCCGGTCTCTCAATTCTGGCAAGTTGACTAATAATTACATGATGGTTAGTTATGTCAAATGCTACTTTGGGGCGGAAGTGGCTGTCCAGGTAGTCCTAAATAATTTTGAATATTACCTACAAGGTCATTGTTAAAGGTCTCGACAAAAGAACCTTCTTAAGAATTATACCAATCCGTTAAATGTGCTACATAGCTACGATGATCATGAAGACGTTGTCGCTTGAATATCCTGCCTGGGATAACAGCATTACCAGTATTGATAGTTGGTATTCTTGGGAAATGACATGATGACGTACATTTTAGAATGGAAGTCACACAGTTGGCAAAGGAAGTGGTGAAACCAAGACAACAGATCAAGGATGCCACCATAGATATGCGCGGATTCAAGGTCTCCCACAGTCTGTAAATCATTATGAATATTTAAGAGTGACATAAGTTTTTTTACCATTACTATTACTGAGTTATGAATTTTTAATGTTTTTATGTCCAACACTGTAATAGCCAACAATGACAGTAGGCTCTGACTGAGCACGAGGTGCAAGGCCTATATAATTAAATTTATCAGCAAGAGCATACAAATCAAATAAGCTGAGAGCAGAGTTCCTTACAAAAATTCTAACTCTCTGGTATTGAAGCCCCTCGGTCGTCTGAATTGCTAGAGGTTGATGGGGAAGTGAGATTTTAGTACGGAGGATACAAGAATTTGTAGATTTCAGGGTATTGCAACTAATGAGGATAATTAAGAGGGTGGGGATCTTACAGGAGCTCTGCACTCAAGAAGACAAACAACATCAATGAGCTCAGTGTATATACAGTGTAGGCCAGGAAGTCTTTTCTAAGCGATGCAAAAATTCCAGTCATAGATGAAAAGTTTAAGTGAGTTTTGTTATATTATAGAAATCCTGGTTCAGTACTTAGTTTCTTAGCTTCAAAGTGAAATTTACGAAATAGAAGGTAGAAGCTTTTATTTTTATTTTGTTTCTATGTCTCTGCTGTAATATCTAGGTGCTCTTTGATTTCTGAGGCCTCGTGGGACCCATATCTTGGCTGTGAATCTATGACAGGGCTGTCACCACAAGTGTCCCCGTCCCACCACTACGCTGCACTCAGTAGTTTTACCATTACGACTGACACCATCACACTCATCAACATTGTTCCAACTGCTGCAAGACTGTTCCAACTGCTGCAAGACTGTTCCAACTGCTGCAAGACTGTTTCAACTTCTACAAGACTGTTCCAACTTCTACAAGACTGTTTTAATTGCTGCAAGACTATTCTAACTGCTGTAAAACTGTACCAACTGCTACAAGACTGTTCCAACTTATACAAGACTGTTCCAACTTATATAAGACTGTTCCAACTTATACAAGACTGTTCCAACTTATACAAGTCTATTTCAACTTCAACAAGACTTTTCCAACTGCTGTAAGACTGTTCCAACTTCTACAAAACTGTTCCAACTTCTACAAGACTGTTTCAATTGCTGCAAGACTGTTTCAATTACTGCAACTTATACAAGACAGTTCCAATGTATACAAGACTGTTCCAACTTATACAAGACTGTTCAACAAAACTGTTTCAATTGCTGCAAGACTTTTCCAACTACTGCGACTTATACAAGACTGTTCCAACTTATACAAGACTGTTTCAACTGCTGCAAATCTGTGCCAACCTCTGCAAGACTGTTTCACCTTCACGACTGAAGTCACATTAATCACATCTTCCAAAGCCAGACCAGGACCACAGGAAAGGAATAAAATATAGCAATGGAAATAGGCCACACTGATTGGGTTATCCTGGGTTATTAACTCTTCAGGGTCACTAAGTCGAATCAAATCTTCCTTTTCTACTATATATTTACAAAACAACATAGTTTACCATAAAGAGTTAAAAGAAAATGGTTGTGTTTTAAAGAGAAAAATGATTTTAAGGTAAACAAAAGTAAGTAAAAGATTGAGAGAGAGCTGCAACATATGGGAATCTTTATTGAAAAAAACACTTCACCACACAGTCCAATACAAAGCAGAAAGGTGTAAGGAGAGGAGGAGTTTGAGGTATTCATTTTTTTGGCCTGGAATCGATGTGTTCAGTCCATCAGTCTTGTTGAAAGTACAGCATATGGTTGGAGAAGTGGCTTATATACTGTAGTCAGGTAAGTGGAAGCAGAAGGAGGCGGGATCACAGTGGAGCCATCCACTAGTGTAAGTAGGTCATCATCCAAAGGTTGGAAAGTTGGACGAGTATTGAAGAATTCCTTGTATCAAGATCCCATGATGTTGCATAAGTGTCTCAATCTTCAACTTGTAGGTTTTCAAAACCATTTATCACATCTGTCAGACACTGTAACATCATGGGAACTTGATACAAGGAATTCTTCAATACTTGTCCAACCTTTGGACGAAGACCTACTTACACTAGTGGATGGATCCACTGTGATCCCGCCTCCTCCTCCTTCTGCTTACCTGACTACAGTATAAGCCACTTCTCCGGCCATATGCTGTACTTTCTACAAGACCGATGGACTGAACATATCGATTCCAGGCTGAGGGACTGAGTACCTCAAACTCCTCTCCTTACACCTTTCTGCTTTATGTTGGACTGATGAAGTCACTGTCGGAGAGTGCAAGGGACAAGTGAACTAGCAGCAGCAACACGCATTCTTGAGCTGCCCCAGCGCTCGGGCTTTTAAGCCCACAGCTGGGGTTTGGCTCGCAAAGGACCCTGTAGTGCTTGCTGCCTTTGCACTTCCTGCCATCGTTTGCTGCTATGCAGCTGCCACACCCTTCGAACCCAGTGTGGGCGGGGCATGTGGCAGCCCAGTGTGCCTAGCTTCACCCTCCGAGCCCCGTGGAGGCGGGGAATGGGGCTAGACCTGGGAATAACTAGTCCCAGAAGACGAGGGGTACTTGTACCTCCACCCATGGCAGACATTGGT